AGTATGGAAGGGCAAAGAGCTCCATGGTCGGTTTTATCGGGCCCTAAACGGGTCCGATGTAGATTTAAAAGCATCTACGACTTGGCTACGGCATGGTGATCTCTTTGGAGAAACTGAAGGTTTTGTTTGTGCGATTATGGACGAAGTTATCATGACGAATAACTATCGGAAATATATCCTGAAAGATGGTACGGTTGACATCTGTCGGGCATGCCACCGTCCTGGCGAATCAATCAGGCATATTATTTCTGGTTGTTCTCGTCTTGCTAACGGAGAATATTTGCACAGGCACAACCAAGTAGCCAGGATCGTACACCAACAGCTTGCCCTTAAATACCATCTTGTGAATCTAGAGGTGCCATACTATAGGTATGTGCCCGACCCAGTTCTCGAGAATGGTCGGGCCACGTTGTATTGGGATCGATCTATTATCACAGACAGGACTATTGTTGCCAATAAGCCTGATATTGTGTTGATAGATCGATTAGAGCGCCGCGCAATGATTGTTGATATCGCCGTTCCTCATGACGAGAATCTCGTGAAAGTTGAAAAAGAAAAACAAATTAAATATTTGGATTTATCTCACGAGATTGTCGATATGTGGAATGTTGATTCAGTGATCATTGTTCCGATAGTCGTATCTGCTCATGGATTGATAGCCAAGAGCCTCGACCAACACCTTAAGAGGCTCACGTTGGATGGCTGGATCAAGGGTCTGATGCAGAAGGCAGTCCTCCTTGACACGGCTCGTATAGTGAGGAGGTTCCTATCTTTGGAGTCCTAACCACCGGTGTCTTGGTCCCTGTACCCGATGTCGGTGGTCTACTATTTTTTATATTTTTAAATGTATTTTTTTATAAAGTGTATATTTAAAAATGTAAATAATATGTATATAAAGTAAATAAAGAGAATAATAATAATAATCGGCACTTGAGGCCGGCCGTCGGGGTGGTTTTTAGTGGAATCACCACATACTCCTAGCTCCTAGCCCAGAGGAGCAGTAGATCCGAAGGGATTTTCCACCCCGTCAACAAAAAAAAAAAAAAAAGTAGGTATGTATATGTTTTTTTATTAATTTACTTATTTATTTTTACATACCTGTTTTTTATGGAGTCTTAAACGAACGGACATTGAAATTTGACATTATGAAAGAGTACTACTAGAGCAGTGACAGACTGCACTTGCACCTCTAATAAAAAGCTAAACGAACTAACTATTAAATATTTCAATATTAAAATTTTGCACTTAGTAAACAAAGTTTTTAGAACTAATTTTATAACTTACAACGAGTTCTTAGTTCTGTTTATGAACAAATGACTATCAATGGTACTCGGAATAAAAAAATTATGCGTTTGACTGCATGTATTTTGATTTCAGCTTTGCTTTGTGCTTGGTAATAAAATATATAATAGGTAGCCCATTTATATATGTATTTTGTTATCGTATAGGGGTCAAACGAACAGACCGTTCTATGGGATGTGATAGGGTACTGCAACTCAACAGACACAAGATGACGACACAATACGACGATAACTACACTGAAAAGATGGCCATGCATGCTATCTTGTCCTCCCCCCTTTTTTTTTTGGGGAGAACACATTGGCCCTCCGGTTACATTACTCACTCGGTGAAAAGCAACAAAGGAATTGTGGAACACCAGTTTTCTGCCGTGACATCAAGTGAGGCCGTGACATTAATCCGATAATAAATACGTAGATTTAACTTTATAAAGAGTGTGTATAGAGTGCCGCTTTCTATTTCATACTAGTTGTTTATTACTTTACTTATTATCATAAATTAGAAACTTTAAATACAATATTTCATTACCAACACAACCAAATCACATATATGTTATAATCGTAACGAAACGTCGTTTACGAAAAATTGATTTAAAAGCTATACATGACAAAGTTACAGTGTAAACATAAAATAAAGAATATTTAAATCGATATATAGATGACGGAAATATCGGTGTACAAGTACACAATTTAAGAAAATACATACGAGTACAGCCGAACATAGTAAATCCTTCTTATTGCTTTGTAAATCAGACGTTTATATTAGGATATGAGCATTTGCTCCGCCCGCGTGTATGTCGTTTATCGCTGTAAAAAATAGCCTATGTCCCCCATAACTGAAACTATCTCCATACCAAATTTAATCTAAATCAGTTTAGCGGCTATTGATTCCTCATACAAATTTCCACTTTTCACATTTTCAAAGGATGATTTCTGTTATAAAAACTAGCGTGAAGAGGTAACAGACACACACTTTCGCATTTATAATATTAGTATGGATTCCTAGACTGAAACTAAACAAAAATAAAATTAATATGTCTCTTATCAAATGATGTTGATATTATCTAGCTTTGTGGACTTCATTGCTATATGTAGTACATATAGTATATAAATAAAACGAATTAATCACAAATGTTGTCAAACGTATAAGTTATGATCATCACACATTACACACATTATTTTCTTAGGAAAGCATCCTTTGTTTAACAAAGCTTTAGTAAAATTACAAGTCATTTTAATTCCTACGATACGTACATAATGTGTTACTTGAAACTCAATAGCTATTTTGCTATTCTATAAATAACCTCTTCCGTTAAGCCGTTGCTGCTGCTTCATTTCTAAACTATCCATACTAATATTATAAATGCGAAAGTGTATCTGACTGTCTATCTGCCTGTTACTTCTTCACGCTTAAATTGAATTTTAGTACAGGGATTGTCCGAGTCCCGGGAAAGTTAGTTTTTATCCTATTTATCATCCTTTAAGGAGGTGAAAAGGAGGATTGAACTTTGTATAAGAATCAATAGCCGCTGAACCGATTTAGATGACATTTGGTATGAAGACACTTTGATTCTTGAGGAAAGACATGTGGGCTTTTGACATTGGCTAGACTTTTTACCGCGATAACTAACTACGGAGCCGCACGCAAAAGCTAGTTTAATAATAAAAGGAATCTGTTATCATAATAACGTCCTAATAACGTAACCTACAAATATAAATAGACAAGTTCACAACCACAAAATAAAATTATCTTTAACGAATAATATAGGTTATAACATCAAGAGTTGAGCAATTCTACGGGATATTATTTTTATAAAAAAAATGTTCACAAAGTAAACTATAACTTTGGAATGGTGTAGCTATTGTAGCTGAAATTGAATATGGCCCTCGGTGAAAACTTATACAAATATTGTCTTAGAGCGCGATTGAGTGGATGATCAAAGAATTTAAATTTAAATTGATAAAATTATGGCTTATGTCCAGCAGTGGACTGTTAAAGGCTGTTGATGTGATAAAATTTGTAATGGAGGTAGCTGGCACTCTGCATTAAAACATAGGCTTTTTCTCATTTTAATACTGAAAAAGTGTATGGCAAGGGCAAGGTACAATAACACCGCGGCGTGTAGCTAGTATTGTTCAAAAGCCACGTGATGTGAGCTGTTCAAATGTACCAGATCAACCTTAAAGATTTACAATGTAACAACAAAAACAAGAAGATTATCTACGCTTATTCTGGTGGTTATATCTCCGGCAGTCTCGTTTTTTATAGTATAGGAGGCCCAGGATTCGTTGCTTTTATCCGAATGAGTGAGGTTACCGTAGTCCAACAATTCTGAGGGGATAGCAGTGCGGCAACGCACTTGTTTCTAGAGTTGCAAGTGTAAATGGGCGGCGGTAATCACTTACCATCAGGTTTGCCCCCTACACGACAAAAAAGGTTGACCATAAAATATTGCCCACAACAATACCGTGAACATTTGCCAAGCAAGTCTACTGATTTACGGAAAATTATATGATAAGATTTGGAACGTGTCTCAGCGTTAATAGAGATTAAAACAATCCCAATATGCCCTTTATTTATCATTTTCGACTCACTGAGTACTAAGGGCAAAAGGCTTATGAAAAGCATTGTTTGCACATCGCCGTCGGTACGTTTATTCACTATAACACATTTCTGATAATGATTTTTTCTTGAATTTATTTCTGAAGCGAGAAGAAATGAACATTATTATCCATTTTATTCGAAGCAGCAAAAAGTTAAATTTAGTGGAACTTAGTATTCCATACAAACTATACTTGGCTTAATGTTGAAAAAACCACTTCCATTAAAGACAAAGTATTGAGCACAGACAAGGTGGAAAGATCCATTGGGTGGTGACAGTTTGGCCTTGATTCATATATTTATTATATATTTATCTTACTTACTTTTAAACATTACAACCAATATGCGTATCCGCGGATATCCGAAAGTGAAAAAGTATCCGTTCCTTTTTCGGATTCGTTTACTAAATTGTAGGTTAATTTTGCTAAAATTAAATATTTAACAATGTAATATGGAATATGGTCCGTGTGGTGACGGATTAAGAATACAGAGTGTGTTACCTATTCATAACGTGGGTGTCGTAAGAGCCGACTAAGGGAAAAAACTACGCAGAACAACAGCACTGCAGAGAGAAGGAAAACTTGACACAAACCCTATACCAACCCGTCTGACCAGCGTGGTATAGTAGGCCAAAACCTCCTTTCTAAGGAGAGGCTTATATCCAGCAGTGGACTATTAAAGGCTGTTGATGATTACAACCAGTTACAAAAATATTACAGGTATAGCCTAGGTACCGGAAAAGGGAAAGTCATACGTTGTCCTGCGAGATATAAATGAACAATGTGGCACTTAGCATGGGACAAGAGCAATATTGCTAAACTATGATATGTATGTTACGAGTACTGCAGCAAATATGCTCTTGTCACCACTTTGGTGCGACCCTAGTCTACTATAAATTTATTCAACTAAGAAGCTATAAATATAGGCTAAGATTTTGATAGGCTTACAATGTAGTACATAAATCTAGCGACAAATGATACTAATTCACAGCCACTCTTATAATCGCTATTAATTACAATGCTTGAGTTTACTATGTTATTTAGTATACAAATATTGAAAATAATGTATGTGTTTTAAACTTATATAGTTATACTGTATAGGTTTATCAGTGTGGCATCGACGATGGTGCTGCGTAGCGATTCTAGTGCTGGTGGCCGGTACAGCGTGCGTGGCTGGTCCCCTCGCACTTCGGGCGCCCCCTGGAGCCCCACTTCACGAAAGATTACGACTTGCTGAACGAATGCTACACGACACTCCACTTGTGGATGGACACAATGACCTGCCTTGGAATATAAGGAAGTTTCTACACAATAGGATTAAGGATTTTAAGTAAGTACAACTCTCTGTAAGTCCATGGCAATAAAATACTTAGGAAACTTTATATGAGCTTTAATGTCAAAAAAGTTATAGTCTGCAAAGGAAAATATCGTTATTGGCTTAAAAAATACAGTAGATATTATGTTCCCTTAAAAGGAAGTGACTGCAGAGATTGTTCTAGTTTATAAATTAATTTGTTTAAGTTTTTTGTAAGTTTGATAGATTTTAGCGGATGGGTCATCGAATAAAACAATAAAAGTACGAACAATCGATAAAGTTCACTCTAGATGTAGTGCAGAACCAATACGTATACGAGTACGTCCGTTAGCCTTTGTAAGTTCTTTCAGGGCACTTTCAAAGTTTTGAACTTCTCGTGATGTCTTAACATAAATGATTTACGGTGACATTACGCTGGTGAGGAAGATAAAGTTTAATGTTCTATGGGTCGACAGACAAAAAGTAGGACTCATATCTAACGACCCGAGATGGGTGAATTTTAGACGTACCTACCTATTATTTTATTATGTAGGATTGATAAAACAAGAGTCTTGTAAAATAGATATACTTACGTTAATAAATTTAGAATTAATTTGTATAATAATAACCCTCATCATTACGCAACTTACAAATATTTTTGTTGTTTATTCATATTATAATTTCACTTTAAATACGTTACGTTAAGTGTCATAAACATTGCAGACAGGCATACTTAAACAGAAATAATATTACTTGTTTTAGTCTGACATATTGAAAAGGAATTAGGTTAATTTTGTTTAACAAAGCTGAATTAAATCTTATGTATCTTAAAAAATACAATAACTTAAAAACATGAGAAAGCTCTTAATTTTGTCGATTTTATATGTAGGTATGTTTTACGATTACTCGAAAATGTCATCATTGATTGAGAATTTACTTTGTTTAGATAGTAAACTTTTTTATAGTTTTAATTATTATCAGCTCAGGAACTGGTGAAGAGAAGATCTCTTCACCAGTTAATGAGCTGAAATCGGAAAAATCAAGAAAATTATTTAAATATCATACGTAAACCTACAGCGATTTTATTGTATTTTATAATAACTAGTGCTAAGGTAAGTTAAAATATAAACTTCTTCATAACTCCTTGAATTTCGTCTGACGTCATATCTAACATCAATCGTCGAATGGTCGCTCTTGTCCTCAATCATTTTCTCCCTTTGCTAACACGTATTGTGAATTTTTCACTTGATTTGGGTATTTTCCCTCTCCTGTGGGGCAACGCGTTTGACATTTTTCCAACATTTTTTTCCATTTTTTTCCAACATTCTTAATCCCACCGCGCTGAATCGCTTATAGCCAATTTTTTCTTTTTTCTTTACTCTCCATATTTAAATATTACAATGCAACCTGGCTCAGCTTTGGTATAATAAAGTATGTTTCAAAGTAAACCTATAAAGATGTTATCATGGTAGGCAGTGTCCGATTGATCAGGGGCTACACCTAGATAGACTGAAATCTGTATTTGATGGAACTGTTATTCCTTTTAATTACTCTATTTACCCACTTCTTCTTTAATGCTTTTATGTATCATAAATACATAGGAACGAATAGTAATATACTAAGACATTACCTTGGAATACTATTTAATGAACTTACATCATTAATTTTGACATCACTCTAAGGTACACTTAAAGAGAATTACCCTGAGGTAGAAAATGCAATTAATTTCACCTCTGTACATATTGTGCATAAAGTGTTAAATAATAATAATTGGATTCTCCATTGAGTCTAAAATTAAATGACGATCACAACTCATAGTTTCACACTCACAGTGTATTGGTGGTGGTGGTTTTCCTTTGTCAAATAAATAAAAATATACCTAATAGAATTGGAATAAAACGTATTTTCATTAAAAGCGCACACCGTTTCCTAACAGTTAAATATTCTAGCATGATAACAATGATATCGTGTGCATGTGAACATATAAAAGAAATCTCTACCACAGACAATATTATAAAGAATTCTAATTTTCCTTCTCGAGGTTAATGTTGACGGACGCTGTGGCAGCGGGCCAGGTCGTTGGCGACGCATGTGGATTGTGATGTGAGGTTCCAGTCGTTACAACTACCTACTTGTTGTATTTGTCTGACCGTATATTTTAATGTTTTGCTTTATTACTTAATTTTAACTTAAAAAGTGCTAAGTCTGGTCCTAAATAACTCTTCGTAATATCAATTTCGATGTCTTTTCAGTTTTACAGCTTTTGAGGATTACATACCTTACCATGAAAAAAAAACTCTGAAACGAATACATTTTATTTAGTCTGTCTGTGTCAATAGCTATTAACATCTAATATATTTGTAGTTCCTAGAAGCGGTATATGAAAGAAATTGCTAAGTTGCACGTAAGCAAACGTGTGGCCATTAAGGATTATACTTTTATATTTCGCAAGTAAATCAATCAAAGTCTATTGAAACAATATCTTACATCACAAGTTAATCGGAAATAATCCAAAAATTGATAATTTGTTGACAGATTTATCATATAAAAACATGTTTTGGAGACCACAAACGTAAACTTTGTAACATATTTCTATGAATAGGAAAGTATTTATAGTTTGGCTCTAAATCCAGAAAAACCGCCACATAGGTTTGTATGGAAACTTACACATGTTCTGTTTCTTTTTTCAAAAATTGAGAATTTTAGCCTAAGAAATGCATCTAACATTTCTAACGTTGTAACATATTACACACACGTATAGTGTACACATTATATTTATAAAGAAAATTCCAGAAGACAAAAGATAAGGTTTACAAAATTAGAAAATTCGTGAACTTAATTTTACAGCTTCATCCGCAATTTTAATGTTATCTGTATCCCAACTACTCCACTCATACAAAAATTCCTGACCTTTTCCGTGACACAAATTAGTTATTCAAAGTACATAAACTTACTTCGATGCGTACACTCTTCAAAAAATATAATAAAATATACAAAATATTATCTGATTAAGAAAAACACACCTTTTTAATTCGACTTATTTCTACGACTATTCGTATATTCCATAGTTTCGACGAAGACTTGCGGACGATTTCTCCATGGGCAACCAGTTCTTGGAGCCACACAGACCTGCCTCGACTGAAACAAGGCAGGGTAGCTGCGCAGGTGAGCGAAATTCCTCTACCACACAATTTAATTAATTGTACATTTAATAAAGTAGGTCATTCCGTAATCCTCGGGTAAAATTAATATTATCATCTCGCGGCCGCAAATCTGACCAACACTTTTTACAAAAAGATTTTGTCGAATACAAGAAGGTACTCGTATACACAACTAGGAAAATAAACTCAGTTTATTTAAATAACTATCAGTATTCATAAATATATATCTATTGTTTTTTTTTTGCTCAGGTTAAACCTTTTCAATTCATCTATACCTTATATTTGCACAGTACATATCCGTGCGTCTTTAAAAAAGCACCAAGCTACTATAAACATGCAAATAGTCAGTATAATGCCCACGGGCCGTTTAATAAAAACAGCTTGGCAGAAAGTTGCACATTGCGAACACGAAAGATGCACGAGAGTTTATTCAAGCCTGTCATGCCGTACCTAAATGAAATGTATGAAAAAATCTGTACAAGAAAAAGTTTCACTCTAATCTTAAAAGAAAAATACTAAGGCGCAAGTCGTACCGCATGAGTATGTACCGCGGTGAGCCTGACAACTAAGACAAATTGACCGTTCCACAGCTCGACTACAATGGGTGGCTGAGTTTATATGAAACTTAAATTTTAAATAGATTTTTTAAATTGTAGTTACTACTTTTAGTATAGTAAGTTTTTATATTGTGAGTTCAAACTTAATTGCGTAATTCATTGGTTGGAACCCTGTTCACAATATGTTTTTTTTTTGTTGATTAACTATGTCCACAAGAACTATCATTATGACATTTTGAATTCATATCTCGTCAAATACAACAAAGGACCCTGTGCTTCGCTGTCCTTAAGAGTTATTAGAACCTACGTGAGGTCACATTTAATTCACCAACTAATATGCTTTATTTCCCTTTTATACCACTTGATTTTGTGTTAGAGCCTCGTTCTAGTTCTATGTTTTTTTTCCCGGAGTGGAAGGTTTTTGAATTATTGTGCTTTTGTATTGTATCCGAACCCGGTGGACTAAGTTTCCTCTTGACACGCGTAGAAACAGAATTACCACAAAGAGTAAGAAATCTCCACCATGCTTCCGCTGACAACGGTGGTATATTTGATAAACATTGCATGTTCCTTTCATATTTGGCTCCTGGATCATTTTCGAAAAAATAAAATCATATAACAATTATTCCTTGCATGAATAGACCTAAAACTAAATAATAATTTATATAGAATTACAAATTTACGTGCAATTTTGAACTGTACACATACCTAAAATACAGATCTCGTACCTATTTGTGTCTCGTACCTACTCGCTCGTACCTATTTGTGTCGATATCGAAAATCAATTATCAACATTTAGAGCAAATTTCAAAACATTCTATAATAATCTATAAATAAACTGATGTATTTGTAGTTAAAACAGATGAACTGGAACAGAAATGATAACGAGCTAATTGTTTAAACTTGATCGCACATTTCGACGTGCTTGATGCGATATGTTTGTTGGGAATATAATTGTAAATATAGTTGTTTCGGGAAACAAGTTAACCATCCATTGCTTCACGTTTTCCATCAACTGATTCTATTATATCATTTTTGTCTGTTCTCCATATCTCTCCGAGATTTGAAATTCTGCGAGCGCGGTAGCCAAGTCGTGCCTGATATTTAATCAGTTATCTGTCAAAGTAACGTCTGTCGACAGTTCTGGGCGGCGTACGTGCCTTGCGATGCACAGCATCGGGATGCAGTGCAGTTGACTTTTGAACAAATTGATCTGATACAGAGGCTCACGGAGAAGTACCATCCTCAGCTCACTCTATGCACCACCGCTGAAGGTAAGGCAATTGAATCTTATTTTTTAGGATTCCTGAATGATGATTGTTAAAATAATCTTGATTTATTAGAAAATATTCTTGGTCATATCTAGACCCCTAACTAAGCAAAGCTTAAATTAATTGGGTACTAGAACTCATACAAAAATATAAACGGTACTTGAAACAACCAGGAAATGCCACCAAATACATACATGCATTTAAATATTTGCAATGCGCGAGAACCGAACTCGCGACATCCAGAGTTTTATCGAATGCGCCATAAAACTCCTCATTAAACGTAACATAAGATCCATGTTGTACTTAACTCCTCTAATGTTATATATTTGCTTTCAAATCTATTTTCTGCGTGTCGACATACTCTTCACTTATTAAGGACTTTTATTAAATGAGATGAAAATGGTTAATATAATTTCTCTAAAATAATGATTCTGTATCTATTTAAATTCGTAATTGTTACAATTCTTGTTGTTACAAGTCTCAGTCAATATAAATAATAACTGTTTGTAGATGTTCAGAACTATTTCAGTGATTACATAACTTTGACTAAAGACAAAAACATATATATATATATATCTTTAATTTATTGCCCTAACAAGAAAATTCGATAATTAAATCTTGTAACAAATTCTTTTGAATAAAATAAGAAATCTGTTCAGAAAAGATTTTAAAAGCATTCGATCTATTTGCATGAAAAACTCATTGTTTTCACTGTTTAGTCTCAAAAAAATTAAACTCTTAAAATTAATTCGTAAATTTTACTATAGCCTCATTGTCTTTTTGTAATTTAAATTAAGTCGTTTAAAATAAACGGTTCTTAGATTTACTTTCCGTATTGTTTTGCAAGTAAAAACGTGATTTATGTTAAATTTATTAACCCTTTTTTTTCTTTAAGATTGTTTAAGAGTAGTCCGAACTATCCGCATATTAACTTTTGCCAAACGATTATACGTTTATCAAATCGTTAATATAATGACAGTTAACAATTTTCCAATTTATTTAAATGGCACATTTAAAAAGCTAATATTCTAGCTTACACAGAACATGGTTGAATAAACAAAATAAAGTATAGTATAAAAAAACACGCTTTAATGGCAATCCGGCTGTATAAGTTAAAATAATTAAACAATTTTAAAAGCCGTTGATTGCTTTTAGCTATTTTCGTAATACTTTTATTCGTAATAATAATCTACTGTTATAAATATTATTTGAACGTTTTGAAATTGCTTGGTATCGGCTCTTCGACATGTCAGTTCCAATTACTGGTATGCGGCCCTAAAAGAAATAGGTATCCGAAAGGATAATAATAATAATATTCTACCACATTCACACAACGCCATCTAGTCCCAAACTAAGCAGAGCTTGTACTATGGGTACTAGACAACTGATATTAATACATATATACTTTTTTTTTTGTAAATACATACTAATTATACATAGAAACACCCAGACCAAATCAAACATTAAATGCTCATGCACACAAATGTTTGACTTGAGCGGGAATCGAACCCGCGACCTTTGGAATAGCAGTCCGTTACACAAACCACTACGCCATCCGGTCGTCGTACAAAGGTAAAGGTAGGTGACAAAGGAAGGCAATGTGAGGCAAGCCTCACATTGCCTTTCTTTCTTACCTATCTTTCCTTTCCTTTCCCAATTCCCATATTATTTCCAAGGGCTCCATTGACGGCATAAATCTAGACCCTTATTACGTGAGTGGGGCCTAATACAGTTGGAAGAATGTAGGTGTGAATACGCCTCTGACTATCATTTTATGGATACAAGCCTGTGAGCATGTTTTGTTCTGTGTAAATTAGTAAAAATTGCAAAAGTTACATATGCAGATAAATAATTACCGGTTATAGTTTTTTTGACAGGTCAATCTAGAAATTTGACTCGAATTACATTTTTTAACCTATTACAGCTACAAACCACAGCGAAACAAGAATTAACATAACAACGTCTTGATTTAAAACTTCCTGAAAACAATTTTCACAAGGTGGATTTATTATTTTAATAGGTTTCAGTATTAACACACATACTAAAATTTTAAAAGATTACGTCAAGCGTCTTAATGTAAGTAAATTTTGCTTTAAAAGTTTTTAGAATCATCTATATATCAACGAAGAGCGACTCGAATCGTCTATAGCCCAAACATCTCCGATCGGCTCGATCCCTTGGCGTTACGTAGAGATGTGTAGCTCATTGATGCCACCAGACACCCGACCAGCACCTTCCCGCTACGAGCGGTTAGTATTTTTTGTATAGAGTACTATGGGTGTACGATCACTACATCAACTCCGGAGCGCCTCGCCACTTGTTGACCACGCGCGGACGTCGAGTGGACCACTAGGCAACCGGGCGATGTCCGCAAGTGGTTCACGTGCGAAGACGATGCATTGGCAACGCACCGCTTCCCCTCGAACGTACAAAATCGCTCTTAGAAGCCTGTGAACGAGCCAGGAGGCTTCTGTGCTTCTGGAAGGAGCTTGGTTGGCTCACCTTTTTTAAACGCAAAAAGGACCACTCTCGAGTCTAAATGCGGAAATCAAAGCCCACAATCAATACCAATACCAATCCCCCTCTAACGTGTCTTTCCCCTCTAACCCGTCGACAACGAGTGGACATCGAGTCGAGGTGGTGCTGTTCGAGTGTCGGGTGTATTTACAACGAAGGCCCACAGTCTTGGTTCATTAACTCGAAACCAGGTCATTGCAACTTTTAATCGAACTGTGACTTACTTCAATTCTATAAAGTTTAGAGACAAGATATCAGCGACTTTGAACAGAGACAGCAAAGTGAACGTTGATATTGCGTAAAGAATTATTGAATAATACAAAAAAAAGGAAAATTGGTTTCTTGAATAATTATTAATTTTATTTATTTTGTTAAAACACCAAAAAGACTGGAAGACTAATATTTTGGAAAATATCTCCGGTTCCGAGGCTGGAGCATAAGGGTCTGTCACGAAAATTTCTATACCTATATCGCTCCCATAAACAATGTTTCTCTTTAACATCTCTGGTAACAAAATATTTTTTAATCAACATAGCAGAAAAAAGAGTTTACATTTAAAGTTTAGACAAATTGGGTGGAATAACCTTGTTAGATGTGTAGCGATGCTTGTAAGCAAGTAGAGTCTTAGAAATTTAACAATTAGCAAATCTGCGCTACCAGTCTTATACCTCTACCCATAACCTTTTAAATTTTATATTGTTAGTGTTTCGGTAACGGTAAAGAGTACCCTACCGTTTACCGTTTTTACCGTTGACTATAATTTCAGCAATACTTAAATAATGTACATAAAATTTGCTATGTAGCTATCTATAATTTAGAATTCAAGGTTGTTTATAGGATGGAGCACGTATAAACCGTAATAGTTCGTATGTCTTTAGTTATTTAATCACGTCATAATTAACCATGGATTGGGAAGCTTGTCTTCCTAATCCATGGAACCAATAAATTATGCAGCTGTGCATATGCATGTATATTCATAGAATAAACCGGACAGCTCATATTTAATAAAGTGTCAAAAATTTTAGTTGATAAAGGAAAGCTCTTAGTGCTGTTAAATCTTGTCTAAAATGTATTTAATATTAGGAACTTAAAAAGATAGATATTGTTTTAGATCGTCAAGTATACAGAGTTTTATAGAAAATATGTAGTCAAGTGTATTTTAAACAACTTATTTTCAATACCAAAAAGATATTTTTATAGAATTTTTAACTGAAAAAATAAACAGGTAAGTTTTGATTCATCCTGCAGTACTCAAACAAACAAAAGAGTTTAACAGTGGCTGTTTGTTTTCTTGGGAGGGCAGAACTACCCTAACTATAGTTTCAAAGATATAAGCTCATAAACTTTTACTCATCTTAAGCAGTTGAGCGAATTACTTCTTCTAAATTGACTACTACTCAAATACCTAAAAGTTATTGAACTTATATTTTCACAGAATTTTAATTATTGTGATGCTGTTGTAGCTTTCAAAGAACAAGCTGTGCTTAGTTTGAAACTATATGGCGTTGTGTTTCAGTTGTCCGAAATATATAATAATAGGGGTTAAATCACAGGTTAAAGTATGAAATTGCCCTTGTTTAGTAATAGATACTTTGAATTGACAAAAAAGCTTCATGGTGTGAGATTTTCGTGAGGTACTTTTTTCACTTGATACCTATGAGATTCTTCTTTTAAAAAATGTGCAACTTTCGATTTTCGACTTTCAATTGTTTTATTTTATTCAGCTTAGACGTAAAAGATGGATACTTCGAAAATCCGAGTCATTGTTGAATACGAGTTAACGGAACTAACGCGGCAGAAACCGCTCGCAATATCAACGCTGCGTTTGCGGGAAGGGGATTACTAATGAACGCACCGTGCGTTATTGCTTTAAACGCTTTCGTAATGGAAACATGTGGTTCGTTCACCCACACAGGTGAATAACGCTGAATTGAAGGAGAAGGTGGAAGCCGATCCGAGTCAAACTACCCAGGTATTAGCGGCATGGTTGAACGTTACCCCACCTACAATACTGACTTATTTGCATAAAATCAATAAGATAAAATAAATATAAAAAATGGGTGACTCAATGGGTGACCCCTGCCCGGAAAGGCGCGGGCACCACCTTCGGACACATTCTGTCTTTAGGCTCTATTTAGGCCCCGCCAGCAACAGAATATCGAAATATTCAGTATCAATATACTATGATGAAATAGAACATCAATTCCCGAAATTAATACTTCATGACAACTAATTTAATCGAATAAATGATTAATGAAATATGTAAATCGAATAAATGAATTATGTCAGAAAAACCGTACGCAATTAGCCAAATGTAGAAAAGTGACGTAAATCTAAACATCCATTAGCTGTGCTTAACGGCGCACAGAGGGACAAAATGTTTTTTACACGCTTTATATTAGCTTCACTTGTATGTTTGTTTGTATGTTTGAATTCGTTCAAACTTTGTAGATATATCGAGGACCGATGACAATACACTAATTAAAAATAAAATAAAAAAATATAGTTTAAAAAAACTAAAAAACACGCTTTCTATAGAAAACCAAACTAAAAAATAGAAATAAAAAAAGCCATGAAAATTAAAGGAAAATTGGTCCGAAGTTGTAGTATGGCTCTGGGGGTAAAAAGCCCCCAAAGTGCCTGTTTTTCTTACAGAAATGGTAAGAATTTCTTTCAAACACAAATCAAAATTAAGATTCTAAGAGTTTAAAACTCAAAAAGTTAGTTGATTTAGCTAAAACGTACACCATATTTTCCGTAGGTATTGTTGATTAGTTATAAATTTATGAAAGAGATTTTTTCTTTTATGCTCCTAGTTCTAAACACTACAAACGGTCCTCATGTAGCTACTTTGTAGGGACCGCAAAATAAATTTATAACTTCGACCACGACACGTAAACATCGGCATACATTCATCTTATGCTTTCATTGTTTAGTATGTCAAGGAATCTGGTAACCAATAAATAGTTCACCTTTCCTTTTTAAACATAAAAATTGGACAAATGTTTTACAGAAACCTGCATTTCAATGGAATATTTATATTATAATGCGTTACATACACCATTTTTAACTAAAAAGGGCGTATCATTTAATACTGCACTCTACTCATCAAAGCCTTTCATTTCATACCCATATTATAATGCTTTCAGAAGAGTATATAATCCACCATTTTGTTTAAGCCGCCATTTTAAATTTCAAAACCAAAAAGTATAAAAAATAAAGAGTGTGATTACAAAACATTTAATTAAATATATATGATGGTTTTGTAAAATAATCACTACACTCACTGCAGTTGCCCATTTCGCTAAGATAACAAGACTGTTATAAGCACAAAAACATCGTCTAAAAATTAAAATCGCTTCATCTATCCTACGGGTTCCTTTTCTTTAGAAATAAATAGCGATCAAATAATATACTCGTACATCGTACATCATATTAGTTTTATTGCCCTAAAATTTCGTTATAGTTAACTAAAAACTCTTTGACTATGAATTAATTAATTTGATTCATTTATTTATTTGATTTTGGTAGCCTTCAAACACGCTATACCCAGAGCGGTTGCTAAACAAGGTAATTGCTAATGAGTTAATCAGCCTCTATCTCCGGAGTGTGATTGTAGGTATATAGTTATCTTGTTTAATATGCTTTAAATCTAAATGTACTTAATACACTGTCTCTAAGTCTCAATCATGTTATTAATCTATGGCTTTTTTATTGTTTTTTTTTTTTGTAATTTGTTTTCCATTTTTATAAAAATATTTAGATATCAGACCTGCTTACTTTTGTATAAAGGTACTGATTTCAAAATGAAAAATAAGGAAAAACCCAATCCTATAGCCGTGGTATTATGGTGCGTATTCTCTTCACCGGCGTTAGCAAAAGTCCGCGGTAAAGCTTAAAGGATCTCTGGTAAGCCTACCAGCAGAAATATATTACTATGCAATCGGTCCTTAACTCCGCTCTGACCAGCGGTCCGTCTCCAACAAAACTAACTTTCCGGTCATTCCTCAAAGTTTATAACAGTTTCGTGATCGGCAGATAGGCCGTTTTTATGATTAATTTCTAAAAATGGTCTCTCGGACTTAAAAACATTTTAAGAGTTTTTGACAACCGAGTTGCTAAAGTACTAATAAAATAAGATATTATCACCACCCCAAACCGAAGGGCATACATAAAAGCTTTAATGACTGTGTGGGTTACTCGTTTACAAGGAAAAAATTATTGTGTTTGTTGATCCCTGGAGAGACGATACATATTTCTACAACCTACTAATTACATTTGGTCTATATTAGAAATATGATTATAGAAAACTAAGTACCCTTTCACTGCCCACTAAGCCGCCACCATTATTTCATCATCACCTTTAAGTACTTACTGCTATAGTATTGTCTTAGATATAGTGTCAGCGCACAGCAACCACCGGTTGTGTTCACTGGTGGGCGTCGAGGGGGGCCACGCAATCGGTGGATCCCTAGGAGTTCTCAGAACACTCTACCAAGTAGGAGTGCGGTACCTCACACTGACTTCTACCTGCGACACTCCGTGGGCTGAATGCGCGTCAGCTGACAAGATAGAACCCTCGCTGCGAGGTGGACTCACCCCATTTGGAAAGGTTAGTTCAACAACATTATAAAATACTTGCATTTGAGGTTACGATTTGGCTAAGTTAGGGTTCTGTCATACAGATACGACTAATTGTGCCAGTAGTGGCGCTCACTTGAAACTCCATCAGTAGATAACATTTATTTTTTTATTGAAACGAAGTTCCTTATCGCGCGTTGTGAAAGGGGGCTAGACGGAAAAAAATCGTACGAAAATTTGGAACGACACTTTTTTATTAATATAAATTGACGTCTAACTGTGGATACCATACATTAAATTTGCTTTAACGTTCGCCAACGTCCATACCATGTTGAATACACCAGTTCTCGTCCGATCACCGAAATTAAGCAACATCGGGCGTGGTTAGTACTTGGATGGGTGACCGCCTGGGAATACCACGTGATGTTGGCTTTTTGCTCTTTATTTTCGTGTCATCTTGTCAGACATTCAGCGCCATCTATCGAATAGATAGGAAATCATTTCGCAAGGAGATTTTACCAATGTATAAATTGTTTTAATTGTTTTTAATATGTAGGTAATAGCCGCTTTCATAGATGGCGTTGTAATTAAAATCGTGTCAAATCAGTTTTACTCGATCGTCACAACTTCGTTCCTATCGGGTGTCCCACGACACCACACGGCTTTTTTTATACTTTTCGGACTTAGGTTCTTAGGTTTGCATCGTTATGTGTTTAATTTTTTAAATGAAAGTGTCCTCTAAAATATAATTGTTCTCACCAAAAAGTATATATACATGTACATACAGTGTATGTATGGGAAGACACTGTTCATATAAGTTATAACAACTTACAAATATTTCAGAAGAGAGAGCATTCTCTTCGCTAATACAGAACCGTACCACAGTAGTTAACTGACATTCGACCAAACTCTGTAGAGAACCGTATCTAATCTCAGTTATACCGTTGTAGTTACACAGTTATGTGGATGGATTAACTTCGCTGAGATGTATTGTAGAATCAAATCAAACATGTTTACGTTACGGTAGAAATAACGAATAAGTAAATCCATATCTGGCTATTGATTTCTGCCATTAAAGTAATAATGTCTAATGTCTTATTTGGGTTTAAATAATTTAGTAATATGTTATTTAGGTATATAGATGAAAAGACTTTCATGGTATTTTCAAATAAACTGCGCTGACTTACCGATTTACGTAATGTTCAGGAAACAGGATTAAGAAGGTTTACAGTACATTTTATGAAGACACATTAAACCCACCCAAATAGTTTCGGCATAAAGTGCGCAGTCCTAAAAATATTTCTATATATTTCTGGGGGATTCACGGGGATTTCATGTATACGTACAAATGTTTTTTTTTTTTGCTTTACACGAGGTACTCGCACTTTATACGGAGATGTAAGTGTTTCTTTAACAAAAAAATGCTGCGAAATAGTTTACTTTTAACATAACAGTTTTTTTATGCCCTACCTATATATACCTTATCTGATATATAATCTTTGTTTATCTCCGATATGGTATAAAAAAGTCATTTATACATAAGAAAAATATTTTTTGAGCGATACAACTGATTTTAAATTGTTAACAAACTGAATTATAATCCAAGACTTATAAAAAAACATCAAAGTTTTGTTGATGAAAATAATTGGAATTTAAAATGTAGAGTGGGAGAAAATAAAGCATTAAAACTTTATTCCTATGCGGGCTGAAATTCTTCAGTTATCTTCCTTTAATTCTTTCTTAAATCTTTTAAGATTAGATGAAGTTATAATCCTCCTCGTAGACTATACAATGGTAGCTCGTTAAGAATGAATTTATTGTCTTACATTGTCTGGTAGCCGTTATTAAGAATTTCTAATAAGTTGACACAAGTTTCAGAAGTATTTTTAAGAGTATTTTTGTTATTTACGAACACGCTTCCAACTTATTTACCCATAAGCCCTTAGAAACGGCGATGACAAGGAAACTTGGTTAATAAAGATGACCATCGAGGGTTTGGGTTAGCAACCCTCTTCTATTACTATCTAAGATATCAACCCTCAAAATGGCAGTGTTTTAATTGACCTTAGTAAACAACGGCAAACAAAATGCGACTTAGTATGTAACTGTTTAAGTGCAAAATTCGATAAATTGAAGCTACATATCTTCACAACTATTTCACAAAACATATTTTTCTATTTTGTTGTTCAGTAGAATATCATTGTTTTTATCTTTATTTCTGATAACTCCAAGATATCAATTACAAATATTTTTTAGCTTTTTACTTTAGTCGTTCCGCTATTTCCAAGACATCTTATAATATAATATTCTTGTATATTATTAATACATATAACTAAAAATAATATTTGGATGAATTTTAGGCCTATATTTATGTTGAAAACATGATTTATTAAATGAAAACTTGTTCGGAGAATAAAGGGAAACTAAAAGGAAAGTGTATGATCCCAACCGTATTCCCAAAATAAGTACAGTTTTGTTTCCTTAATAAAAATACATAAGTGACGTAGGCAATTATCATACATCTCTCGCAATACACAAAGGAATATTACAACATGTTGCTAAGTAGTCAGAATGCAACTGGGAAGATTGAGACGTTGAGTAGAGTGAGTGTGCGATAATCATAAAAATCCTGGCATACCGCAATATTTCTCTTTGTATGAACTCGGGCTGCTCGCGAAAGCAGTTCTTTGTTTACTTGCAACGATACTTTTCGAAATATTTTCTTTTGTTTAAACTGCACACGGCGTGCAACGTTCTTTGCGCCACGTGTTCAACCCTCGGTAGTTACACTGTTTATTTAAGGCGTATAACCCCATATGAGCTCCTATAGTTAAACCGAACCTAACAGAATTAAAAAAAACCGCACAAGTGCGAGTCGGACTAGCCTACCGAGGGTTCCGTAAAATTTTTTTAGGTACATTTACAGGATTTAATTACAAATGTATAGTTTTCAGATGTTTCCCTATACTTGTAGTATAAGACGGTATTACTTGCCAAATTTCATAGTTCTAGATCAACGGAAAATACCCTATAAATTTTGATTCCCTTGAGTGGAAATATACTTTTTTTTTGCGGCATAAACGGCGGTATCTTTTTTTTACGTTTACTTATAAGTTTGATTTTTTCACAGCTTCAAGAGACTGTAGATTTGAGTATATCGTTTTAATTTCAACTCGATACCTCTTTTCCTTTTGACGTACGGAACCCTAAAAAACTTATGAACTGGGAAAATAACATTAGCACAGACGCCTGAAGTGAGAATTAATATATCACTGTTTAGGCCCAGTATCCGTCAACGTAATACTTACGATAGGTAAGTTCTGAGGTCAGATCCCACACAGTACTAGAAGCATGAATATAAAAAATTACTCAAACTAATACCTGCGTTAGAGTACCCAGGTTAGTAAGAAACCTCTTTAATACAAAAATTAAGAAACTATTTTATAGTTTCAGTCGTAATTAACAACAGGAACAAATTTTACTACCTACTATTCTTTAGCAATAACTACGATCGCTGCAATTAAATTGAAACGTCGCGCAGTCGGATAATTAAAAAGTTTTCTAACTTGAAATGCTACGAGTATCATGTTTAACATTCCATTTACAAATTTAATACGTGTAAGTAGACGTCGTGAAAGTTTAAAAATATAGTCATAGTCTGCTGCTATGTATCAAATACTACATTTAATATCTATGCTAAACCATACTATATAACACTATACTAATTATAACAGCTGTAGAAATTTAGGTTTTCTTTTATACACGAAAATTACTGAAGCTGACAATCAGGTTGGAATGACTGATTTTGTAATGGATAGCGTATTTATTGAAGAATAATATAGACCATGTATCATCCTACGCCCTTAGGAGCACAGCAGTAACTATAAACGCAGATAAAACTGCGGGGAACGGCTAGTTAACCATATAATAGAATGGTCGCAGGTGGCTTTTACCGAATAAGGTCGTTCACTCACCACAGGCGTTAGCCGCTAGTCTAAGGCATTGGCCTTCAGTACTATCAATTCAATATCCAATGGCATTAGGGTTGTTATACTTAAGCCTAGTTGCTTAGAGGCGGATCAACGTACAACTAAGTAACTGTATGTATGAGTAACTAAAAATATGATTAGACACTTTTGATAATTATTACTTTTAATCAAACTTTTTATTATTATTTTACTGAGAAAATGGAGTATATTCATTGTTTCAATGCAAAACTACTGTATATTAGAAATAACCATAAAGTGTACATAGATGTAGGTAGGTATAATAATGTTATTACGAATATTTGAGCAGTTATTGAGGGTTTTTCGAACATGTTCTTTTATTTAAAGTTACTATCAGATTTACTTTTAATACTCAATTGTGTTAGACGTTCGCTTTTTTATGAATATTTTTATAAATTAATTACTACTTATTACTAACTTCAGGTAGGATACCCAACTTTTTTTTTTGTGCGTGTGTGAACTCCCCACGGATACCACCCACCAGTGAGGTGTTTATATCGGACTCGAACCGACTAAAAATCACCCTCCGTCTCCAGGTACCAGTAGCTGGGGAACCTTGGATACCCTAAAAAGGAATACCTTACCCGGCATATCTCAGGCCATCTACGGCGTATAGATGACCCCTCCCGTGTGGGAACCCCGATGTTCTCTTCCTGCCCCTACCTGACTTCTTTAGTATTTCCTTAGAGAAGCATTACATATCTAAACGGAATGGCTTGAATAGATATTAATTACGTAAGATAGACCGGCCTGTCTCGCGTCAGAAACTATAAAACTAATTACTCCAATTTGTCGTTTGTGAAACCTGTCCGCTAACGTTTTATATTCATAAGCCACAAAGATTCCAAGAAGTTAGTAATTAATTTAAGCAACGCCAACTCATACGAACTTCGAAAGCTGCTAGAACAATAGAGCATGTACTTTTGATAAATATACAAACGACCAGACTGTGCCATTAGAATTTGGCAGTGAATTCAGTGCTTATGTATATTAATTCCTTCGTTTTTATACAAACTTATGTAAAGTGTAAACGATCGGATGAACGTTTAACAATTTAATTAAACATTTACTTCCAAAGAATGTAAATTTTATTATACCTACTCAAGTTCGTGTTTAACAAAGGCTATAAAACTTTTAGGTTTAACGATGTATTTTACGCCTTTAAAATGAGTGAATACTCAAATAAAAGAAAATTCACAAATGTTAGTGATAAAAGACTTTTTATTAATCATAGCTATTTGCCTTTATATGTACCTCTATATGTACCTTTGAATGTTTAAAGAATTAACCTTTTTTTTGCAACTAGTCTTTGAACACATTAGACCATATCATTACTTTTATTTTTTAATGGTGTGACTAAAGCTTAATAGGTACTAATTAAAAAGTAAAGAAAATGGGTTGACGAACCGATGAGAAAGAGGTTTGCAACTGTTTTGGCTTTGCATATTTTATTTACTAGACGTCATGATTTGTGTATCAATCGTGGACCAGTTTATCTTGAACTGTCATCGTATAGAAATTTCGTACCTTACTGGACTATATATTTTCTTCCTAAGTGAAACTTATAGATGGACTTACGGATATGTCATCAAAATTTATAAATCACCTAATCTTCAAGTTATACTCATCGCCTCTTTCCCCTGGTCAGTTCTTTTCATAGTTTTCTTTCTCTAAATCTCTGGTTCTAATTAAGATATAGGGTCAGTTGTTGTCTGAGATGGTCACTCTGGAACAAAATTCTTCTATTGAACCTCTGCCCACTTAAATTAATTGAGTTAGAGAGAAGTTAACTGCACCCATAAAATTTAAACTATATACTGCGGAGCAGGACAAATCTTTCATGTTTTCATTAAAAAAAATACTAATCAAAAACTGTAAGTAGATATTACGAATTTCAAGCAAATCAATTTATTCCCAACTAAGTGTACATTATGGTCTTATAATTTATAATTTTACACTCACTTATAATTTCAAATTTATCCATCTGCGACATTTATTTTATAAAAAAAAACACACAATTCTCTTCACATATTAATATTATTTAGACATGTATATTTTGAATTGGGAAAAGTCAACAGTAACCTATCCTAATATGAGTGTTGTGAATTCTGGCGTAATATATGATATTTTATCCATATCATTGAGAATTACTAAAGTGAAAACCTACTTTGTGATTTTGATTTCAGCTCGCTTTTGATTCATTCATACTTTTCTAACAAAAGCGACCTGAAATCAAATATTTTTTTTTAAGTGATTTGTGAAGGAGTCAGCAAGTTGAGCTGAACAGCTGTTTCCCTGACTTGCCGTTTAACGCTCCCGCTTGCTTTCATCTAATTTCTCCCTAAAATTGGAGGGAAGCGAGAGGAAAGATATTACATACAGCTTTTTAATATCAGATTGTGGTGAAAGAAATGAATCGCTTGGGTATGCTGGTGGACCTGTCTCACGTGTCAGAGCGTACGATGCGGGATGCATTAGCCGTCTCGCGAGCGCCAGTACTCTTTTCACATTCCTCGGCCCGAGCTCTATGCAACGTGACCCGCAATGTTCCGGACAGCGTGCTCCGACTTTTAGCTGCCAACAAAGGCCTCATCATGGTCAACTTCTACACATCGTTCCTCACGTGCAAAGACACTGCGACTGTTCAGGACGCTATTGGTAAGAAGGCGAACTTTTGTTCTGCTTACAACTTAATTTCTGTATTACTAGTACAAATTCGTTTATGTAGGAAACATAAGCTTTTCTTGCTTGATGCAAGAAAAGCCTATGTTGCCTACATTAGCGAATGCCCATGTTATGAGCACTACAAGAGAAAGAGTCCATGATGCGTCTCTGTTCATTAACAATGAACTATTTATTACCTTTTATCGTCTGGTACGCTAAGAAAAATATAAAATTATATTTCCTGTAACCTACGTACAACCAATCGAATTCATTCAAGTTTAATGAGTAATAAATAGGAAAGCTTATTCTACTCGTAAATAATTAAAAAAAAACGAATTCAATTCAATGTTTTCTGGAATTCTCCGAGAATCATACTCAGACTTCTCTCACGAGGCTGTTGACTCTAAAAAGGACCGGAATAATAGCGGTTAACACATACTGATATTAAGCCTAAAAATCTGATCTAAAATAATGAGGTGCAAAACGGCATGATGCCTATTTCATTTTAATAGTTTGCTTTTTAAGTACTTTTAACTTTCCGCTTAAACAAAATTACATTCTAAGATTACCTACTTAAATTTTAACTATTCTCTGGCTATTAATTAACTGATACAACTGTGTGGTTTTACAGCTCACATTAATCACATAAGGGATGTTGCCGGTGTGGACAGTGTAGGCCTTGGCGCTGGATACGACGGCATCAATTAGTGAGTACATTGACATATGTATGTAGGTATGTTTGTATCTTATTGTTAGTTAAACTGTAACAAACAACACGTGTTTATTTCGGATTTCAAAATTTGACAAACTTTGCAACCCGAAATAAAGACTTCCATAGAAAAACTTTCAAATCTTCCATAGAAAAGTTCATTTCTTATTTTATCCTCTTAGGATTTCCAAAATCGTTTAATAGTGATTGTTCACAAGATAAAACGCATCAGCTGGCAAAATTCAAGTTTATGCAAGCCGGAGCGGTGTAAGCCCTGCGTTGATGAATTAGTCAGTTAGGGCAAGGAATTTTATGTGTAGATAATAGTGAAAAAACAAGTAAAGTTCAAAAAGTTAAATTATGCTGTATCTTTGACAGTACACCTCAGGGATTGGAGGACGTATCATCCTACCCCTTGCTCTTCGCTGAGTTAATGGAGGAAGGGTGGACTATAGAAGAGCTTAGAAAATTGGCTGGATTGAATCTGCTGCGTGTAATGGGTGCAGCCGAGCAAGTTTCCCGGGAGCTCGCTTCTGCGCACGTCGCGCCATATGAAGACGTACCACCGAAACAAATTGATAGCCACAACTGTTCAAGCCAGGACCTTTAAAGACCTAGCTGATTAAGCTGAATTTGTTTAATTATTTTATTTTTTCCATACTATCTTAGAATCTTCAGTAACAGTAGGTAATCAGTTTTAAAAATAAGAAATCAAGGAAAATTGTGTTTTAACTTACTTACTTACTACCTACTCGTCTAGGTACGTAATACATGCACGAATAAAAGACATTCATTAGATGTGGGCTTCTAAGGTAAAACTTAAAATGTGCAATGAAATCAAGTTACAAGTAGAGCAGAATAGTAATTTAATGAGTAATCGAAGAGATTTGGTATTACATATATTTTGTTGAATCCCAAAATCATATATGGATGTACAATATAAACAAATAATCGATAACTTTTATTATTGGAAAAAACAGGTACACTAACTGTAGGTACCAGGTATTGTTAGTTATTTTGACATATAACAACAAAAAACAAAACAAATATATCAAAATGTACTACAATATGATCATTAAGTTATTATCATCAAATTATTTAGTTATTTACTGAATATAAGCAATAAAAGTATCTAGCCAAATTATAAATTCAATTCACTTTCGGGTAGTTACTTAGTCTTGGAAGTACCTAATCGACTTGTCTTTGTAAATTATTTCGATATTTTTTTAAATAAAAATATCTACATTTGACCTGACTACTGCCTGTGATTATGCTGTAATAAATAATGTAAAATAGTGTCTCATAAACATAATTATTATTTGTAAAATAAAGAATATTTGTTTAAAATGAAAATCTAGTACCTATTATATTAGTGTTTTTTTTTTGTAATATATCTGTATGTTTAGATCACAACATTTTAGTATTTATTAAAAGATAGTAACATTGCTCATTTAAAAATAAATTTAGTATCCACATTATTACGTTTTTATGCACATTGTTATGGTTTTTGATGTTAAGTACTGGTCGAGATTGCACTCTAAATATTTTTTTTATTATTACAATAAAGTTTTCAGAATTGTTTTAATTAATTAAAAGCTTGCCCACAGCTAAGAACAAAAAAAAATGTTTAGCAAATGAGAAAGAGGTAAAAAAATAATTTTAAAGTTCTCAATTCAGTAAATTATATTTTGACACACAAATAATCATTTACTATATTGCTTAAAAAAGACGGTCATTATCATAATACAATTAATAGAAAAAATAATGATCTATTGAAAACGACTTCATAGCAAATGAAAAAACAAGCTAAGGACTTTAAAGGCTAAACGGGTTTACCTTTAATGAATTCAAATCGTAAATAAAAATTTAATACTCACAAGAAACCCTTAAACCTTTAATTCTTACAAAAAGCTAAAAGAACTGCAACCCTTCTGAATAGCATTGTGTTAACATGTTAACAAGCTTTAAGAATTAGTCTAAATATGTAATGAATTAAGTAGATTATAGAATAAATTTACCCTATACTTAAGTAGTGTTATCGTCCGATTTGGTCTGATTTCTATGTTTATTCCTGTACAAAAAAAATTGAGTAATGTAATACTCCTTTGTGAAATTTAGACATTATATAAAATTTACTAAAAGACCCCAAAAGCTTTTTTAAATACTGTTTATATTAATGTATTATCAATATTTAAATAAACAATAAGGTAGCTTTACCTTATATTTAAATTAATAAATTAAGTACCTAGTGATTGATTGAGTGGATACCTATGCAAAAGACAAGAAATTTAAATAATCGTAATATTTATTCAATTATACAGTGTGTTTTCGTCAATACTATATTCAATACAATATTTCTAATTTACGATAGTGATACTTCTGCATTCTCTGTCGCATGTATCATGGAGAGTGCTCTGAGGAATTGTTCGGACTAATAGTGGCCCCAACTTTCCGTCATCTTTCCAGGCGGCAAGCGACTGTCACTTTCCTTTAGGTGACCCGTCTGCTCGTCTGCCCCTCTCTATCATAAAAAATAATAATATCACTATCGTAAATATGTACATGTAAATTCATGTGAGATTTAAAGGCCTTGTTAATTTTTGGTCATCGTTTTTTAATGTTTATTGTTGCGGTGTGCACATATCTAAAAAAATGTGTGATAGATAATGAAAAACAGCAGCCGCGATATAAAATAGACTGAGAACAATTTTTAAGGATAAATAAATTTTGTTTTAAGGACATTTCTGTCTGAGGAGTACAAAGAAAACTTGTACTTTGTAAGTGATTAAAACGCACTGTATAAATAATAAATAGCTTTACCTTACCAATGACCAATACTAGATAATTATAGATTTAGTGATGTTAGAATGAACCCCATTTAAAAATGCATAAGAGTCGGCGCATCCTTGACAAAAAAAGTAGAGTAAAAGTAAGTAGGTACTAACATTAATTCAGACTCCAGTTTTTTTTTTCATTCAACAAATCCTATTATCCAATCAATAATTTATGCAGTGATGACTTCTCACGTTTTGCAGCGTCGATGCGCACTATGCTTACCGCAATAAGTACGAGTATTTGTATATCCTAACGCAATATTAGTGTTGTAAATAGTTATCGTCAATAAACTGGTAATAATAGACGGATCTTAAGACTGAAGAGTTTGAGAAATAGATTAGGATACGTTTACTACAGTGATATAGTCTAATCGAATAATATTACATACGTGATGTGTTTCTTAAGATGTGTTTATTATGCCATTAAAATACTAACTGTTTTGCTACAAGTCCTGTATTACCTTAGTGATACACATACTATTGGCAATTAACAAAGACTAGACTTGTCAAGTCTTTCATAATGGCCTATAGCATGTGAAAATAATCTGTAAGACATATCTCGTTGAAATACCTTAAATCGATATAATATTTGATCGTTTTTATATAAACAACATAATAAATATTTAGATCCAAATTTTCTTAAATTTATTGCAGTAGCATCTATTTGTAAAAGTATTTGCTTTTAGAATTTTATTCATAAGTTTATTAAAATATAGTGCAACGCCGAGTTTTAAAATACCTCTTAAAACTCTTTGAGCTTTACACCTTCAGAAAAGAGCTATAGCAGCGTACCGACTGACAGCCTAGGTCGGACTCATCCAGTATATCTACTACCAACGTTAACCAAATTCTTCCCAAGGTTTTAAGACCCGTAAATAAAATAAAATATTAATGAATGCCATGAACTTCTTAACACTAATCTTATAAAATTAAAATATATTTTTTAAGAGTTTTAAGGGGTTGTTTAACAGGAGTCAATAGATTTCTTATTTTACTAGTCAATTTGTATTTGATACTTTGTTACAATTCATATATAAAGGTATACTAAAATAACCAGTTATTAAATATTTCTTTAACCGGGACCGTTCCATTACCTATTAGATACTGGGTAAATTTTAAAATGGCCTACTGACATATTTATTAATTTCATTGATTAAATAGCAATAATATTTAGAAAGCATCATATGCAGTCTGACAATATTTTAAACAAGCACAGAGTTATGAAATTGGTTACAATTTTATAATCTACAAAATTTAGTACCTACTCAATAAAGATTTTTATTCAATGAGCAAAAATAATTTTCCAGAAAGAAATGTGTAAATGTAATGTCTGCACACTAAACGTTTTAGTTATTTTATTTATACGCCTGTAAAATCTTAGTAGTCTCATCTAGTCTTAATTATACATATTTATATTATTTACGTAGTGTTTATATTTTGTAAACCCCTTTCACACTGGAACTATAATAAATCTTGAATTTCATTATTTTCTTTTCTCTTCGACTCCCTCCCAGCCCTCCAATGTCACCAATTGGTAGATTTGTACATTATATGGCCGCACTGGTATCACACTTCAGTATAACTGATTAAAAAAGGTTAGTATTTATGTAACTTTATCTATTAGTAAGGAAAATTTAATACGATTTTCAATTTTCACTGCTAAAGAATCCTGAATTTATACAACTAGCCATTCGTCCCAGCTTGCAACGGGTGCAATGTAGATACTATTAATGTGGAGTCAGTGTGAAGTAATTAATTAGGTCTACTATTTTTATGATAAGACTACTACAGTACTGCTACTACTCTTTATCCATAATTATATTAGAAATGTAAAGTGAGATTGTTTGTTTGTTACGTTTTCACGCCTTAACCACAAACTGATTTAAAAAAATCCTTCTCATATGGAAGGAGGAAGGAGGGTCCGGCCGGGACGAGCTATCATGGCGCTGCGAATGGCCTCACACCACTCGCATACCTCTTACCGGCAGATTACCGTTACCCGCCCGGAACTTAGCCGTCCGTCGATATAGTTCGGAGAGCACATCCACCTCTAAATTCCATGGCGGAGTTGCGGCAATCCGCCCCTGCCCGAAGACGTACGTGAGTGGTCTGAGGCCCCTCGCCACCGACACGTTGCGGTAACCGCGTAAGGCTCTAACCACCAATATCCTTTGAGGGCTCCAGAAGCGGTGCTAAATTGGGCAAGTCTCAAGGACAGACGCAACGCGGACCAGATTTGGAGCAAGCACTCGAAAGTACTCGTCGAAGAGCCACCTATTGAAAGTCAAGTCAGGTACCATGATGCCGCCTATTTAAAGTCAAGATATAACTTTATAGATAATTAGTTGCACCCCTTCTGTAATTGTTAGGCACATTTTTAAATTTGTTTCACTTAAACTTTTTTAGTTATTTCAAAAAAACATTTCATTTTCTTTTTTAATTGTAATATTGAAATAAATTTTAGCTACATAATTAGTTATCTGGACTAGGTAAATGTTACAACTTATTTGGTATTTGTATTTTCTTCGGCTGCGAAGTTATTCGAAATCCTGCTGGAGTAACGTTTGTGGGTTTGCTGGATCTCTGAAACGGGTAAGCGGATTGTAACCATCTTTTGTACATAACTTCTTAAGGATTAGTTTTAATTTGTTCGACAATAAAATTTGAAAAATTATTTAGGTAAGTATGAAAACACTTCAATACGTCCTAACACTTTAAATAAGACCTCTAAAGACTTACTTGAAACGTTATTCTATTGCTTGTAACTACCTTCAAA